AGAATAACATTCCCAGCATTTCACTATTGATCTATGGTTAGCAATAAAAGCAAAAGTATGGTTAGTAATCAAAGCACATTAAAACAATTGAAGATTCTGGTTTGCGTAGATCCTGACACAGACCATGACAGGCATGCCTCAGTATGCCCATGTAACACCTCTGCTTCACAATCTGTACTAGTTGCCAGCTTGTTTCCCAGTACAATTCAAGGTGCTGGTCATTACTTCTAAAGCCGTACATGGCATAGGACTTGGTTATTTGCGGGATTGTCTCCCATAGTATTTGTTCAGCTGTTTCAATCTGGCAGGATTGGCACACTCCAGGTTCCTTCAATTAAACAATGTCATCTATTAGGACCACAGAATCACACCTTCTTTGTAGCAGCATCTGGCCTCTGAAACAAGATTCTCCCCAAGATCTAGATGGCCCCCACTCTGCTGTTGTTTAGAAGAGTCAAGAAACCTGACCCAGGCCTTTGGCAACGGAGAGTGAAATCTTTTGCGTCATTTCCATCCAATCTGTCATTCTTGCCATCTTTTATCTTTTTTTCCCCATTTTAATTGGTTTTATTGTAATTTCCTTCTTTGATTGTTGTGAGCCACCTAGTCATCAGGAGTCAGGTAGCATACATGTTTGATAAATAAATAAATGGGATTTGGGGTCAAGGAGCTTGTAGCTCAGCTCAAAGCAACATGCCACTGGGTTAGAAATATGAAAGGCCTTGCTGTTGTTAGGCACTCAACACCTGAGCTGAGGTATGTCCCCTAATCCTGCCGAGACCCAACCATGGGATCTGGAATGATGAGTTACTTTTAAGAGGATGCAATGAGGCTGCCCACTAATTCTTGCTGCCCTCAGAAAAGCATCTATCCTTGCCCAGGATGACGAGTCCATCCATGGCCACAAGAAAACCTTTTTCTTCACTCTTCCCACAGCTTGAGGCTACACATTTCCAAATGAACACTGACCCTGTCATACTGGGCATTTCTTTCTCTCCCTCTTTGCTAGCTGGCGCCACAATATCAGTTATGGTTGAAATCTTCAATCAAACATACCGTCCATCTGCCTTTGTGATTGTGGGATTTATCAACTGGATGGGACTCTTTCTGCTTGGGATGATCTTCCCATTCATTGTGGTAAGAGAGTAACTTGATTTGGCCAATGCACCTGAGTCACAAAAAGATCAGATGCCATATGGTACTACAACAAGCATATTTCTGTCGTGACTTAACTACACAACAATAGGAAAGAGAAAAGGAAGGGGCTTGCTTGATGAACCAAGTCCAGCCCTGTATTGATCTGTCTACAAACAACACTGAAGAATGCAGCACTGCTTGTCTTTTTTGAAGTTTTAATTTTCATTTCTCTCTCTTTTCAGGAATATCTTGGTCCCTTCTGCTTCCTGATTTTTATGGGGATCCTGGCTGTTTCAAGTGTAATCATCTACTTATATCTTCCAGAAACAAAGGGAAAATCCATTCTTGAAATTACAATGGAGTTTAATAAGTTAAATTATGGAAAGAAACAAGTTTTTCTCACAGAAAATAATTCTCCAAAGGAAACTGTACTTTGTACCAAACTTTAACTCTTGAACTACAAAATCTCCATATCTCAAGAACTGTAGGGCACATAAAATTGTAAACCAGACCATTTACAACACTGAAGCACTTGTTCTGCGATTTTGCATAGCTTCACAAAGAGCAAAACCCACCTGTTTACGTTTGATGAACTTTTGATGTGCCCGATTGTATCCTGTGCTGCAAAGCCTATCTTCTCAATTCCTGTGTCCAGAGAGCCTTTCTAAACCAGGTGGAGCATAATCAAATTAACTGTGTAAATTAAACACTTAAAATTAGGTGGGTTTTTTTTTTGTCCTGGCATGCCACTCAAAGGCCTTCTTCAAAGTTACATATCTATCATCAACCATGGTTTGCAAATCACAATAATTGGTTGGTATCTCACACCAAGCTAAACATGCACAAGTGACAATATGCCTCAGTGAGAATTTGTTGGCATGGATTGGCCATGTCCCAACTCCCTAGCAGACCTGCTTTCTGTTTTTATTACTGCCTTTTGATGGCTGTTCCATCTGTTTTCTCTTTCATATGATATTTAGTTGGTGAGTTGTTGCTTTGATACTGTGCTAAAGTGAGATTATAAATTAAGTAACTAATAACATTTTTTGCAAAAGAAGACCCTATCTGAAAATCTAAAAGCAAATAAGTACTGTGTCCATTGGAATCTGTGATCAGTTGTTCACAAGCTGCATTTATTCTTTAAAATGCATACCTAATGACAATAGGAATTTTGATGAAAAAGGAAATGACACAAATCAGCACTAGCAGCACACCCCATCAGGAAATCCAGCCCCAGTCTAGTCACCAATCTAATCTACTGACACCATT